TTGTCAGATTCCGTATAGTCGAATCATATTAGACGAGAATACCCCTGGTTTGCGAAATAATTGTAAACTTATTGCTGCAAGTTATTCAAAGGGGTATTCAAAACATGGACGCATGAAATGGGCACACCAGTTTTTGTGGGAAAAGTTTTTATTCGACAACAAAGAATGATTCAATCGAAAGTGTTGGCAGGAACGAAAAAACTCTTTATATAAGATTTTTAGGCATTCATGAGACCGACAAAATGAGACCACACGTGAAAAGATCCGACGAGTAGCAAAAAAGTTATGGCAAACTGCAGGTTTTGGCTTGTTGGCAATGCATCGATGATTCCTCGCAGGCATTTGAAATTCTCCAAATTTGTAGGATTCGTACTTCTAAATAACCACAACAAGTAGATTGGTCAAGTGGTTTATAAGAATCTCTAATTGCTTATCTAAGTACACCTGTTTTCTGGCCATCACTACTAAACTGAATCCAAATTCAAGATGAGATGTAAATAATAACAGTTAGCGCGTGAACAGGTGGGGACAACGCCTCTTATTGGTCAATTCGCCATTAAATGTCAAGCGGTCGCCTGGCGGAATAATACGCGGCGCAGGGGCAGGGCAGGCAGAGTTGCATTCAGGCCAGCGACCGTCGCGTGTATCACTGCGTGCTCGTGTTTTCGTATTCACCTCGCTTGGCTGTTGCTGTTGTTGTTGTTAAGTGTATTTGAGTAATTTGTTATATTAGATAATTTCGTTAAATACTGTAATCTTTGTTTTACAACACGTTGGTGGTAGTCCACCATTCGGAGGTAGCCCTGAATGCGGCCCTGTACGCCGCCCTTGCTTTTGGCAATCACGCATCCATTCTATCTTGGGTGTAAATACACTATAGTTTATTGGGCAATATACAGGGTTAGTTTGAATTCGTTTTGGATAAAAAACGTAACGTTTGTTTTTCGCATAAAAATAACATTAATCGTTGGAATGGTTTGTGATTCCCTGGGGCAAGGCAAATTCGTGTATTTTTCTATAATTTTTTTTGAAATTACTTTGAGCAAAGTCAATAAATAAAGCTTTACTGCAAAAATTTTATAGTACCCTTTGTATTCGTATTCTGATATAGAGATGTACTGTGGCGTGAAATTGAAAAACACTCCCTATATATTAATGCCATGCATATTGCCTCTACGTATGAATTTGGTGACTAAATATAACGGTGTTCTTGAATAAAACACCCTATGAGTCAGACTTAAGAGGTGGTATATTTTTGCTGCGATCATTTACAAGTCTGCAACATGTATTCATAATACTTTCAATACGACTTCTTGCTATAATATCTAAATAGTACTAATAAACCACTAAGCAACGTGATATTTTTTGAAACAAGATAGATTCAAACAATTGCTTTCTGGCTAGTTGATGTAATATAGCTTTATTTGCAAATAGAACTCTGAGAACAGCGTAGCACGGAGAAGTTAGATGGTTTACGTGTACAACAAATTTTAAGTCATTATCCGATACAATACCTCGGTTCTCCGAATTATCCACAGGTACTACTTTATTACCTTTTAAATTTATGTCTATGTCCTTTTTAAGGCATTCCTTTTTTATTTATTTGCATATACCAACATATTTATATTATATATATTAACATTATACCATGCACTGATTGAGCCTCATCTCACATATGGTATATTAGCATGGGGAGCTGCATGTTCCTCACATATCTGTAATTTAGATGTTTTTCAAAAAAGTATTCTAAAAATGATATTTAAAAAACCGAAACTTTATCCCACTGAAAAATTATACGCAAATGTTCGAATGTATGATATAAAACAGCTTTATTTCTTACACAGTATCACTCACTACCATAAATTTGTAAACACCGACCAAAAAATTAAACATAATCATTATACCAGGTGCAAAATTCGTGGCACAGTAGTTCCTCAACCGCATAAATCTATAATGCAGCGATCATATCTCTATTTAGCGCCTAAATTTTATGAAATTATACCTAAAGACTTAAAAGATTTACGTTTCGGAAATTGTTTCAAAAGAAATTTAAAAAAGTGGCTACATTCTATATCTAGGACTGAAATTCATAAACTCATAAATACGAATATCAACTAAATACATAATCTACTGTAGCTAATTTTTGTCCTTTTTTGTCATTTGCATTCTACAGTTTCAACTTAAATTATTGGTCCATGTACAGGCGATGCCTTCTATTGGGCCTGTTTTGATTTTATATTTATTTACTCATATTGTTTGTTATCTTTGTACATTGAGTGAATAAATATTATTATTATTATTTATCTTTAAAACGAAGACCATGGCTACTACTAGACTTTCCAATTCTGGCAAGATCTGAATAGAAAATGTGAGATATATGCTGAAATAACAGGGGCCCTAACACAGACCCCTGTGGTACACCAGAACAAGTTTTTTGTGTTTTTTGAAACCGATTTTCAAGGTACGTTTGAATAAACGAAAGAGGTTTGTCAGACACTCCATAACAATTGCATTTATACACAAGAAGTGAATGATTAATTGTGTACTGGTTCAGCGTTTCCAATGGAACTTATCTAACCAATGTTACTGGAGTATAATGGAAAAAGTAAAATGATAGTTTATTAGCAATGAAACGCCGGCACCGCTGGCGCCGTAAGAACTTTTATGTTTTTGGAAGGAAGTAGTTTGTTGCAGCTTGAGAATCTTCATTGTGAGTTAACAAAGACGTCTTTGCCAGGAACTAGCTGCACCGTCCATTATGAGAATTCAGGTAATATAGAAAATCACAGCTCTTGATGAGCCAATTAAGAAAATATTCTCGGTTGTCTGAGATGATAGGGCATAGTTATTATTATTGCATATGCAGGGTGACTTTGAAGTTGAGTCATTAATTTGCAGATAATGATTTTAGAAGGAAGATAAACCAAAATATGTGTGTAAAAATAAAAAAAAAATAAAAAAAAATGTTACCTTGTTTTATAAAGTACCCTCCCGACAAGTATTTCAGTGCGGACCTGTATTTGATCGTAAGGTCTTGGAGCACCGGCATGCCGTCCCCTGTGAGGTCTTAAGTCACCTGATTCACGAGCCCGTTGTACTACATTAACAAAGGTACGAGGGCTTGGTTGCACTCGATTGGGAAACCGATCCGCATAAACATGTGCCATTTTTGATTTCGTTTGAGCCACGCAACAGACATCACTATTCACTCACGCGTTACCGACTGACACTGACTGTATACAACTGGATAAAATAATTGTAAAAACATCGTTCCAAATTCTTTCGCTTTTTTGTTTCCGATGCGATGAACCGATAAGGCGGATTATGTCCGTTGTTGCCAAACACGAGCACATAATATTATTATTGAGACAGGGCGGTACTCAAACTTCCAAAGGGCTATAATTTTGTTACTTTAATTTTACCAGAAAAATGGTAAAGGAAAAAACATTTCTTCTGATCAGATCTACTCACTTTTAAAATAAATGACTCAACTTCGAAGTCACCCTGTATATGTTTGAAGTACCGCAATCCCCAACGCTGATTTTCATCTGCATCCCATATGGTAAAGACGACAGGGAAACCGTTACGCTATCCAGCCCTACTAACCAACTAACAAAATGCCTCTCAGAAGCATTCGAAATTCGAAGTACTTTCGAAAAGAAGCAAAAAAAGCAATTTTCCCAGAGTGCTTGATCGTGTGCAGCTTGGAATGTGGTGCTCCGATTTTGATAAATTTTTGACGTACGTCTGCTGCTATAACAGGCTCAAGAACGATTCCTAGGTTTTGAAAATCAATCTGGTAGTCGCGGGGTTTCGAAAACAACTTTAGAAAGTACCTCAACCTATGCGAATTTTTAGACTTTCTTTTTTGAATTGTTCTGTACTTTTACATTGATTCAAAAAAGTTTGAAAAGCCTGACTGACACCCTTCCTCATCATAAAACGCTTATCAATTACGTTACGATATCCGTACCGAACTCAGTGCAAAATATATTAATACTTCTTTGAATGAATTCTGCTCGCTTCTCAAACAACGCAACGCTTTCTGTATATTTAATAGCAGCTTCAAAGCGAGATAGCAGAGTAATATTCAAGCTCGGTACGCAGTCAACTGTTTCCACCCCGCCCGCGCTCTAAATGGGAACATTATAACGATTTTCCATACAGTTAAACAGCTTCAAAGAATCTCCATATCGGTATTGCATGCTACCAGGAAGGAATTTGCCTTCGCAGGTCCTTGATAGCTTGAAATTAAATTGCCCGTCTTGTACTACAGGGAGACGTGATGCAGATGATCAAATCGCGTGGTTCCCAGACAACTAATCACCCGAGCAAACCGCTTGAGTTAGTCAAAAGGTGCATATATATATATATATATATATATATATATATATATATATATATATATATATATAGGTGAAAAATTAAAGCTTCTGCCTTTTGTTGGGTACTTCGACAAAATTTAAGCAAAGAGGACTCTTTATACTTTTTTTAATTCTCTCTAGCTTTCAATGGACTTTGCCATCATCATCAGGAGAGTAGTATGTGAGGATGTTGCTAATTGTTGTTTTCGTATAGGATGAGGGAAACGTCCAGTAACATGGTGAGAGCTGGATACATGGTACAATGGTTAAAATTATATAAAACATGACAAGACAAGTTAAAGACAGATTAAATCTGTCATTTTTTAAAATTTATGTCCCTGTATGCTGGAAACTCTGCATTTCCGGACCCATGTTCGAAGAAACTTTTTTTCATATTTTTTAACAACACTACAATATCTCCTAAAATATAACCCTGTATAGATCTGCCACAGTTGCTAGTAGATAAACACAACGTCTTCGAGCGGACATTTTCATTACTGAAATTTATGCTCATACGTGTAGTGCGCTTTGCGAATTTCGGCCCTTTGTTTACAAATGACGTTGTTCCTGTTCTTGGATGAATATGTTGTGAGCCACGTCGCGTCTCGCGGCCTCAGCACCTCATTCTGGAATTACCATAGATACGGCCATTTCTACTAGGTTGTTCGGAAAGTACTTCAAGGAGCATATCTCAGCTGTAACAAAACTTCATCAATCAGAATGACAGCCATTAGAATCGGTACACCTTTGCCAACGAGAAACAACACTTACGCTGCTAACGTGAAATCCGGAGCTCTGGAGGCGATGAACTCATCGAAGACATTTCTGGCATCGTCATGGTTATTAAAGCATTTCTTGCAAAGGAAGTTGTCGAGGTGTTTGAGAAAGAGTTTCATAGCCCAATTCGTTCTGCTTTGCAAGGTCGGGCGTTGTCGTGGAGGAGAATTGACCAATCTAGGGCCCAGCTTCTGATGCATTTCGTCGATTTACTCGCAGTATTTCTCGGCCGTAATCGTTTCGTCCGGATTTCGAAAGCTGTGGTGGATGAAACCGGCTGCAGACCTCCAAACAGTCACCATAACTTCCTTTGGATAGAGTTTCGGCTTTGGTAAGTGTTGTGGAGCGTCGTCGCTGTCCAGCCATTGGGCAGAAGATCGCCTATTGTCGTAGAGAATCCACTTTCCATCACATGTCACAATCCTGTCGAGGAACGGGTCGCTTTTGTTGTGTAAAAGAAGAAGATGCTATCTCAAAAACGACAATTTTTCTGATCTTCGCTCAGTTCGTGCGGTACCCATTTGTCGAGCTTTTTTACCTTCCGATTCGTTTCAAATGATCGCAATACCCTCATCAAGCTCCTCCGCAAGCTCCAGAACAGTTGTGCGCCGGTTTGCTTCCACCAGGGCCTTTAATTCGTGATCGTCGGTATCACGTGGCCGACCACTGCGGTCTTCATCTTCAAGGTTCTCGTCACTGCTGCGGAATTTCTTGAACCGCCATCGGGCCGTACGTTTGTTAGTGGTTCCTTGGCCAAGTGCGTCATGGATATCGCGAGCGGTCTCGGCAGCTTTTTGACCTAATTTAAGCTGGAATAAGAAAATCGTGCGAACTTTCCTCTTGTCCATCTTACATTTGAAGTATTAAGAAAACCAATTATCATAATATAAAACGAATACAACTACTAGATAGAGCGAAAAACGTACTTAAAAATGTTACTCGTATATGGAGTCAAAGTATTATAAACAAATTTTAGTATAAAGTACATCATTCAAAATATAAATTACAAAAACCGCAAGAACTTTCTGAACAACGTAATACATGTACTCTTAAAATGTGGTAAGGATATAACAAAAGATCCACTAAAATTCTCCAAACAATTTGATGGAAAATATACTAAGTGACATATAAATCCGAACACCCAGTTTAAATGGTTTTATTTTAATAAAAGTTGGTGAATGTATTTATTTTACTGTAAATAACAAGTGAAAAAATGTTCAGCCTTATCAGTTGGACATTCCGGTTTTTATACTGCTTTTTTTTAATTCACTAACGCTCTAAAAATGAATATTTCAGCCGCAGTAAAGAATCAACGTTGGCGGATTTTGGTTCTTGACATCCTTTACGATCGGTTACGATGCCTAGAGTACGGAGACCTGTACGATTTCGTCAACTTAGTGAGTTTGATAGGGGCCGTATAGTGGGACTTCGGGAAGCTGGACTTTCTTTTCGGTCAATCGCAGTTAGAGTGCAAAGAAGTGTAGACACTGTGGTTAGGTGTTGTCAGGCATGGCTTCGAGGAGGCCGTACGCAAAGAGCAAGGGGCACTGGACGCCGCCGTAGAACAACAGACCGTGAAGATCGCCGCCTAAGATTATTGGCCTTAAGGGACCGTTTCTCCACTACCAGGTCCATTGCAAATGAATGGTTTGCAGAACACGGAAGACCTATTGGCATGCGAAGTGTTTACAGACGAATGAGAAGTTTTGGCTTGTTTTCATACCGGCCACACTGGGTCCTCCCTTTAACTCGAGAACACCGACGTAATCGCCTTGAGTGGTGCAGACAACGGTCACTCTGGGATCAGGAATGGAACAGTATTGTCTTTAGTGACGAGTCTCGATTTTGTTTAGGCATGCACGATGGTCGTGCCAGGGTTAGAAGGCGACGTTAGAACAGTTTTTTGTTGAAAGACATGTTCATCACACTGTTGGAGTTATGGTTTGGGGTGCTATAGCTTATGGTTCCAGGTCACCTTTAATCTTCATCAGAGGTAACATGAACGCGCAGCGTTATATCCACGAAGTTCTAGAACCCCATCTTTTACCCTATCTTGACACCCTGGCAGATCCAACTTTCCAACAAGATAATGCCCGACCACATGTTGCAAGAGTCACAATAGACTTCTTTCAACATAATGATGTCACATTGTTACCATGGCCACCAAGATCTCACGACTTATCCCCAATTGAGCACGTGTGGGATATGATGGGTAGGAGATTGCTCAATTCGCAACGCCCTCCTCAGACTCTAGAAGCACTTCGAGAGGAGTTGGTGGTTGCCTGGAATGAGATACCACAGGAGGACATTGACCACCTGATCAGAAGCATGCCTAGGCGCGTTGGAGAATGCGTAGCACATCAGGGTGCATCCACACATTATTAAAGGTCAAAGGGCTTTGAAGCAGTGCAATCATTTTGAAATTTTTATTATTTACTTATTATGCTTCATTAGGTACTTATACAAAATTTTATTAAAATAAAACCATTTAAACTGGGTGTTCGGATTTATATGTCACTTAGTATATTTAAGTGTCTAGCGATGTTCCTCGTACTCGTTTCAGGATGTTCTTCGACTTCGTGCAGCAATGCTTCCTCAATTTCAGGTGTTCTCACACTTATCTGTCTATCTTCAGATGTTCCTTTTCGGACAGAACCAGTTTCAACAAGACGACGATGAATATTAGAAAAGGTTCGACTACCTGACAAAGCACGATCGGGATAGTCGCATATCATTACGGAACACCCTGTATAAGTATAGGAGACCCGAATTAGAAGCAATCGTTCACCCACCTGTTTAATGGATGAAAAGTATTTAATATCAAAATTCCACGCGAGACTATGATTAATTAAAAATTTAAAAACCGCTATTCATTAATCGGTGGGCTGTCCATTTTTTCCTGGCGTAACTACCGGGTTGGCAGGTAAACCTAATAGGGTGTCCCAAAAAAAATGACAGTTCTTTTTTTTCAAAGGAATGCCATCTAATTTTGCTTGACCAATGTCGACACAGTTGTAAAGAAAGCTTGATGAACCTAAAAATAGGGCAACTCGGCACGAGTTCCATTGGAATATGGCAAAACTACCGATTGTTATATCGTATAAAAAATTAATCAAGTGGAATCGCACAGCAACACTCTGTTGCGTGATTCAGTAGACTACACAGTCGAGCAAGTTTGTAAACATTCCACAACGCGCCTCGCACTGTGAACAAAATTAAATTGTAAATTCAGACCAGCCAAAATTACTTCAGTATATAAAACCGATTAAAGTTATTTTTTGGAGTTACAAAATCACTGGTCAACAAAATTTTAACTTTGTCATGCCACACGGACTTTTTTGATATTTTTTACTTTAATTGGTGATTGTAAGAAAAAATAAACAGTTAAAAAAATTTGCTAGTCAAGGATTTTATTCTATTGAGTAATTTAAAATATTAAGAAAAAACACAGATCTCGTAAATCAAAAGTTATTTTTTTTATAAATGACTTAATAATCTAAGATTTTCTTGAATATTTAGCTTCTGGTTGGTCCTTTTGATTGTCCAGCAGTAATCTGCTAACATATTTGGGCTCCATTTGCCCTGGTACCGCTTTTCCATATTAATGTCCTGATGGAACCTCTCACCGTGCTCGTCGCTGACAGCCCCTAAATTGTCAGGAAAAAAATCCAGGTGCGAGTCTAAAAAATGGATCTTAAGTGACATGTTGCAACCCAATGCTTGATATGACAATAATAGCTCGCTAACCAACTCCAGAGAGTTGTCACTCTTGTGGTTACCCAAAAAATTTGAAACAACATTTTTAAAAGCCTTCCATGCAGATGTTTCTAAATCGCTTAATTTTTCTTCAAATCTTGAATCTTTTATTAACTCCCTAATTTGAGGGCCAACAAAAATACCCTCTTTTATCTTTGCATCACTTATTTTAGGGAATTTTTCTTTTAGATACAAAAATCCACCCCCATTGCGATCCATTGCCTTCACAAAATTTTTTATTAATCCTAATTTGATATGCAATGGTGGTAGAAGCACATTATTTGGCTGTGCAAGGGGTAAATACTTTACGTTTTTTGCCCAGGAACTAACGATGCACGCGTAGGCACATGTTTTTTTTATATAGTGATTAGTTCTGTCTCGGCTATCCCATTCACATAAAAAGCAGCAAAACTTTGTATAACCCAGCTGAAGTCCAAGTAATAGTGCAACAACTTTAAGATCACCGCAGATTTTGAAGGAATATGTACTGTAATCTATTTTTTCAAGTAAAAGTTTCATATTTGCAGCATGGGCCAGAGGTACAGACTTAAGCTTATTTCCATTATGCAATAACACTGCTTTTAGACTTGCTTTCGAAGAATCAATGAATAAATGCTACTGAGACAAATCAAAATCTATGTCCAACATTTTCATAATCTCATTTATGTTATTCCAAAACACCAAATCTCCATCCTGAGAAAAATACGTTCTGAAGTGTTGATCACGGTTTCGAAAATAGCTAACTTTTGTATTATGATGTAGCAAATTCCATTCTTTTAGACGTGATCCTAATAGTTCTGACTGCTTTTTTGACATATTTAAATCCCGAACCAAATCATTTAGGTCTCCTTGAGTTATCAAATGTGGCTCGTTTAGAATTCCTTTTAACTCAAAGTCATCGTCCTCGTCAACACATTCACCTGAAGTGGACGGTTGTGAATTGTTCTCAACAGACGTAGTTGCAACTGGTATTAGTTCTGGCAATTTTTTACAATGAGAGACTGGTCTTATAGCCGAAGATAAGTTAGGGTAAATAACTGTGGTTTTTTTCTTGTAATTTATACCTTTTATGTATGTGAGACAAAAATAGCAATCTGAAACGTGATCTCACTGTTCAGTCCATATAATGGGTACAGCAAACGGCATAGGTCGTGCACCTTTCTTCCAGTCAGTTAAATTTTTCACACACGTTATGCAACAGACATGACGGGCCCAGGATTTGTCTTGATGGGCGACAGAAAAACCAAAACATTGGTGATAACACTCCAACACAAGATTCGTAAAATTTCGTCGTTGTATTTTGAATGTTAGTTCTCCGCAGACATAACAAAAAGAGTTAGGATCATTATTACACTTCCTCGACATATTCACAGGGTTAATAAATCACAAAAAAGTGTTCAAATTCAACAACAAATATTTTTATAAGGATTTACTTGTAAGCGTTTCTGTTAATTTACTGCCGTAGTACTAGTTATAAGTATTACCGTATCACAACAAATATGAGGCTAATAGATATATGACAGCTGTCATGTAATAATGAGGGTAGACTGATAAAACAAAATTAGCTGTCAAAGTTCGTGTGGCAAAACCAGTGTTGACCAGTATAATTAGAGTAGTCAAAGGAATAATGCTTAAACTATTTCAAATGATTTACTTACTTTCTTTGCTCTATTTATTCCTTCCTTTCTTTCCTTCTTTCCCTTTGCCCCTTAAACATGTTTGTTATCTGGGTAGCCAGACCTGACAGACTAATAGGGCGACGAGACTTTTAACTAAGAGCAAAGGTCCACCAGACCGCTCTGACGAATAATGACGAATAGTATAACGTATAAAAATAAAGAGCAATTTATCGCTGTGCCCAAATTGGATAACTCTTCAGACAACGAGCAGGCTCAGGCAGTTTGGGATGCTATTATTGACTGGAATCTTGAAGATAAAGTTCAGATTCGCTTTTATGATATTACTGTCTCAAATACGGGTCACACTAACGGCGCCTGAATGCTTCTCAAACACAAGCTTAATAAAGAAACGCTTGCCGCCATCACGTCTACGAATTGATGTTGAAAGACGTGTTTGAGTCAAAGATCGACCAAGTGACTACAAGCCCTGACTTCCCGATGTTTCAAGAGATTCGCGATAGTTGGAAAAGTGTGGATTCAGAGAAAATACATATTTAAACTGAAGAGCTATCATGCCTGAATCGGCGTCCATGGTGGGGTTGGCAGTAAAGGTCTTGGCAAGCATTTCCGCCTTAGCTTTTGAGTCGGTTCCATCCTGACACGTAAGTGGTGGAAGATGGTACTATGTGAGAAGTTCCTGTCAATCTGCTTGGCCAGCGTGCAGAAAAATCCACTGCCAATGCGCTGCGACATTACCCAGTGCCTAGCTTTCATATCGGCATTGCGAACCGATTCGTCATACTGTTTGTTTCTGGACTAGACGTCGGCTTGTCTGTTCTTTGTTACAGTTTATCATGATATTCTCCTTTTCCTAAAAATAATCTCTCAACCCGTGCTTGTTTTATTTCGTCGTACTGCCCTGCAATTTAAACCACAAACCTTGATTTGGATCTCATGACTCTGTAAGCTACCGAGAGCTGCAATACCATCTTGTCTAAGTACGGCAAAGAAAGCTACTAATAACTAAAGTAGTGACACGTTTATTCTAAAACAAAGTCCTTGAAGGTCGGTATCTAAATCATCAGCGTGATCTCGTCAAAAGCTATTTTATCTTACGTGCAAGATATTGTTACATAAACTCCTATTCACAATATCAAGACGCTACTGGCGCATCCCAGATTTCACTGGCGCATAACTTATACTCGTCTATATATGTTCTGTCAGAGATAAATATTTCGCAGAAACCTTATTCGAGGAAGTATACGGGACTTAATTAAGTTCGGCACTCCGGACACAGAGAGCAGAAGGAAGGAATGAAATTTGGAAGAAAATGGAGGAAGATGGAGAGAGTCGGCATATATACATATATATTGTCATGTGCGGCAGATGCAGAAGTTCAACGTCGACTGCCTTCTTTATTAAAGCTCCTTATTTCATTGTATAGCATGCCATGTGCGTGTACTTCCATGAAGGATTGCAACTGCTTCCACTAGTCTTATTCTGTCACATATTCCTGTGTACCTCAGTAGCTGAAGCTACTTTTCTCTAATGGACAAGTATTAACAGTTTTGTTCTATAATATCCGGGAAGTGAAATTAAGTGTCAATGAGAGCGTCAGCCTTAATATTCGTGAGTGTGTTATTTACTGGAAAAGCGATGTATACCGACTAAGTCTCTACTTAAGTGTGTTGAGTCACTAGTTACCTTTAACCAAGTTTGGAGGGATTCACAGAACATGCAAGCAAAACACAAGAACGTCGGCAAGAGTTTCTTACAGACTAAGACAATCTGTTTGATATTGCACATGTCAGTGACCTTCAACTGATGAAAATTAATAGAAATAGCATCTTCTTGAAGCAGCAGAGAGAGCCAGGACCTGGTCATTTAGCTGGGCTTGACAAGAAATCATCCATAAAAGAAGAAAAGGTCCGTCTTACGAACACCGAAGAACAAAAGCGGCGACTAAATATGTTGCTTCCTTAACTCCTGCGACGTCATCTTACGAACCGGTGCAAGAAACTTCATCTTAAGGTTCAAAAATTTTTACAAGAAACTTTGCCCATTTCAACTTAGAGCACACAGCCTGACACTAATTAAACTCAAATGAGGCAAAGTTTCATAACTCCAAAATTAGTGACTGCATTAGATAGGTATCAGTTAAGTATGAGAAATACTGTTTTCATTATTGATGCAACCATTGAGCCAACCATTGAGCCACTTGGACATAACAGCAAGCAAGTCCTCCATTCAAAGGATTCGTACCGAAAGGCGAAAGGAGCCCGCAGAAGCTATAAAGCTTGATTTCCAAAGCAAGGTATCGAATACTGTAACAGTCCACTGGGGTGGCACATTGTTGCTTCCTTTGAATGCAAGAACGCCTACCGATTGTTATAACGTATGAAAGTAACGAGCAACTTAATTGGATAGCTCCTCAGGCAGCAGCAAGTTTCAATGTTAAATATCTAAGAAATATAAGATACAAGTAAAGCGGTCTTTTACTTGTCGAATAAGAATTAGGTTTTGGAATCCATACATAGTTTCCCTATTAACCTTCAAACTCAAAGTTTGACCAAAATTTATCGTTCCCCGATCACATCAATATTCTTTTCAGTTGTTAGAGTCAAGTGGAAAAAACTAAAGGATATGCGTATCTCAAATCGAAAAAAAATTGAGTCCGTATCAAAAGCTGTAAAGATAATTCTAGACACCATAGAAAATCATTTACATGTACTGACACGACGTCAAAGTAACCTAACATTGGTTATTGAAAATCCCAGTGTATTTCGTAGTTCGTTAAAACCTGAAACGGTTGTACTTTGAATTAAAACGAATGCACAGATGTATAATGGAAAATGATGATAAACGTCCTAGATATAATAATAACAGAGCAGTACAAGCGAAACCAGATGACATGGATTGATTATTGTAAGGCATTTACACGACGACGCCGACGTCTCATGCGTCTGCTATAATGGTTTGCGGTACATGATCAAACAGTGAGATGCACCAAACAACTGATACCTCTCTGGATGACTAGGTTCACAATCATGTCAGCTGAAACCAAAGTTCGGACACAGTTAGTATCATTCACAAGCGGGGTCTTCCAATGGGACTCTTGAAGTCCCCAGCTCTTTTGCATCTCATTGCTCCTGTTGTCTGTTGCGCCGAGAACTGTTAGAGAATATACCGGAGGCACAAGGTCATCCACTTCTTTTATATTAATGACATAAAACTTTACAACTTTGAACAATACAACTTGCAGGTGTCATTCAGGGCAGTGCAAGATTATATATAGTCGGGCTACCGGTATTTAATTAGGAAACGACAAGTGAGGTATGGTTCATTTTAAGAAAGAGCGATACGGCGATACATGCCGGAGAGACATATAGTTACTTTGGAATGGCGCAGCGCCACATCCAGGAGGCAGATCTGGTCATAAGAGCTGTCTGGTAAGAACAAAGTACACCTTCGGGACCATTCACTGGACAGTGGGGAGGGCGTGGACTCATCCTCATCCGCATTGTACGTGAGGACGAGAATCCTGGTAAAGGAGCTTTTCTTTTTAGAACAGCGAAAAGAGCAGCAGACGAACTCAGTCTCACACTCGACTTTGAGCGAAAATGCCAGCAGTCCATAACAGAGCTGACTCTTGCTCAACTCAAGAGCAACATGAAAACTGCTAAAGCTTAGGCTTCATGGAGACAAGCCTACGCCTTTAATATTCTACGAACACGTAGAGGTGCATTGCTTATCTAACAGTTGACCATCTCATTTCTAAAGTCTAGTAGGTTAAAGTCCAAGACTGAGGGATCCATTTTGACTTGCCAAGATGGTGTATTCAATACCTTGATATACCGTAGTCGGGTTATGGATGCGGATGTATCCAATGCCAACTGCAGAGCATGTCGACAGGTGCAAGAAACGCTTATGCACCTCTGGTCAGCATGTAAAGTATACGCTGGAACCGCTTACGTATAGACGAAGCACCTGTGCTGCTGAGTCCATTGTGGAGAACGAGAAATGCAGGTTTGACTGGAGTTACTCGTTTCTCACGGTCAAACCCGACATAGACCTCTTCGACCACGAATGGAAGGCGATGTTCGTTATTGAACTTTCGGCTGCGGTCGAATGGAACATCGTCTCGAAGGAGGAGGAAAAACAGAAAAAATATCAGGAGCTCCGCATGCTCTGGCCAGACTACACTGTCAGTCTGCTAGTCAAGGTCATTGGATCCTTTGGTCGGATGAGGAATACCTTGCTATCTGCAACTAATCCATACCGATATGCCGAGCATCTTAGCAGGAAAAATGCAGAAAGCACTGATCCAGGGTTCCCTCCGTCTACTTAGGTCTCACGATTTTCGGATCTACTAGTTGTTTACTTCTCGGTGTGACGAGGGGCTGGTTGTTAGTGGAACAGCAGCTTGGTGCGTCTGAGCCCAGGATTCCTATTTTACTTTATAATAATAACAACAATAATAATGTTTATTTTCACAATGTACATGTAAGTTTGCGCTTGGATGTGTTAAAACTAAAAGTGCAATTAATGACTGGACCATAACTATAGTTTAGTGACCTGTCAAAAAAATATCCAGTCAATCATAACTAAAGTAGACTATTAAGAAAAAGTATTATTCGTATTTGAGTTAGTGACAAGTAAAGTATTATTAATCCATTTCTTTACTTATTTTGGATTTAATTGATCTTATTGGTTTTAATGAATCCGGTATTAAGTTACAGGATTTTGGACCCAAGAAAAAAAGAGATGATTGAGTAATGGGTTTTGATGTTTGTGATGAACATTGAATCTTGATTGAATCAGTGTTTTGAATGCTTAATATAATGCAATAAAAATGAATTTATCTGTAATATAGTAGTTCAGCCTCCACACAGTGCGAATGACTTGGTTGTGTAGCCTCCTTATGGAGGAGCAACTTAAGAACTGATTTTTAAGTGACATAAACCTTTTGTAATTATTATTCGAACCTACCTCCCAAGCCAAAATACCGCAAAGTAGTAGAGGGTAAACAAGAGCATAATAAAAATTGTATAGATATTTTTTGTCCAGAATATCTCTGAAGTATCTGAATTTCGGAACGATACATCTCAGTCCTTTCACCAAGCACTACTCTGTATGGGCATTCCACTTCAAGTATTTGTTCAGAATTGCGCGTAATTATTTTATCAGGTGACTGAATCTCTTTGTATGAATTATTTTATTCTTAAAATGCGTTGTAAATAGCGATTTTCTCCTTATGAGAATTTGTCTGTTCCCGCCCATGAGCACCAACACAAGCGAGATCAAAATTAACTTCTTGGCAACATATCCACACAAGTTTAATTTCCTTTTGTATAAATACGTAAGAATTTCGTACTGCGGAGTAGTGTGTATGTGCTACGTTTTACAGTTCCGCGTACTCTAGTGAGTACGTTTTCAGAGTCAAACAAGATTTGTAAAGTAACCAGAAACTAGTTTGGAAGGGTTTCTGTAATGAGATGAACTAGTTTTTACTCTTTTCGTCATAGGCAATGTAGAAGTATGCTTTGGAAAATATTACACAAGAGTGTAATAGATATAAATTCGATGATGTGGAATGTCATGCCTCATGCTCATTTTATCTTAGCAAAATTTCTGGCAATACATCTGAACCTTATAAATACCAACTTCTAACCAAATTGACTTAAGGATTATTAAGATTTTCATAAAAAAACGAATTGTCAAAAGAAGTTTGTTCCATTTATCTTAAAAACGGGGTATTACCGGATCTACTATGTTATAAATTTTTTCTTACAGGATTACGCAAGTATTCGCACCTAAGACTTGCGTCATTAGTACCTTATATACAGCGAAAACTAAATTTGGCTGAAGGCTTGAGTTCAATGAGTACGAAAGTGAAGCAAAAAAAGCATATATCACCACATGTTAGAAAGAGATAGAAGCTGACTGAAGAGCGAAGGTCATCACCACATTGATTAGCAATGGTCACGCAAGGTCGTGCAATCTGCCGCGTTGCCAAATACTCCTAATAGTCGATAGACTAACTCCCGTGGCCATAGCTGCACGCTCCTGAACTTTCTTCAAACCTTTAAGAGGTTTATTTCCTTCTACTTCTCGTTGCATAAAGAATATAACATTTGCTACAGCGTCCCTAGTTTATTGTTGTAACTTGGATTAAAAATCCATAATGAACGGATAAATCTGCTAGCACACCAAGGAATAAATGGCGAGGATTAATACGGTAAAATTGTATGTATTCAACCCACGAATTTTTTTTTGCTCCAATTACCAAGAAGGCGATGGGGTGGGAACACGTGCACAAATTCTGGCCCTGCCTACGAGATCCGCCGGGTGGTACCTCCGCGTTCGACAGTCAGAGACCGTCTACCACCTACGGACAATCACAACATGCAGAGCCAAGAGAAAAAATTCTCTTGGGACGGGATTCGAACCCGCACAGCGCACGGCGACTGATCAGGAGACCGAATAGTCTACCAGTGCGGCCACCACTGCTGCCTAAGCTGGAAGGAAACGGCAGTGTACAGGTACATAGTGAGAATCTGTGCGATAAAAATCTGTCCTGATGACAACTCCATTGGTTCCCCGCCCCAAATACACCTACCTGAGATGTATGCAATTCAAAAAATTAGTTGTATTTTTCTTATTCAACCTGGAAAAAGTGAGCGAAAAAGAAGAAAACCACTAGTTGAAGTATATCAAAACCAACAAGTAAGAAAACATGGTATATATAGGAATATTTATGAAGGTAAAAAAGTTATTACATTTCACATTAATTTTTAGTTCCATTCACTTAGATTGTATGGAAATTTGTTTTACGATGCCAAACAGGAAACACAAATCAGCGCGAAAATGTGAGGCAGTGCGAAAATGCATCATTCCGAATTTCTACACGCAATGCGGGTGCGCTGCTGACCCCCCGCAATGCTTTTCAAATTTCTTGAAAACGCAAAGAAAACGGAGAAAATCGTAAAAATCGTACCAAAAACTGCCACTTTTTATTTTACGGAAGCATTTGCTTTGCTGTATTTTTTCTTGACCATGAGACTCAGTAATATCTTCCAAAAAGAAATTTAGATGTATTTCAAGCCACGCGATTGGTTCTGCGTTAAGATGTTATAACCTTATATATGTGATTATAATTTGAACACTTATTTTACAGTCCCTTGGCAAATCTACTTTTACTTTATATTTCTTGTTGTTATTATGAACTTTTTGCAGATATGTTGGTAGAACTTGAGTTTTTGAATATCGCGGGCACTTTTATCGTTTTGGCAACACTGATCATATTGGTAATCGATTGCTCACATCGATTGTCACGAAAAAGACATATAACCTAAAAAAACAGAGTTTCAGTTTCACAGTGCAATTCAACAATTTAAAGTGTGTCAATAGCTCTTTTCCGGCATTGAAGTTTCGCAAAGAACAGTGCAGCGGAGGTTAGCAGAAGAGGGTCTTATTGGACGTAGACCAGCACGCAAACCAAGACTTACACCTGCTATGATATCAAAGCGATACCAAAGGGCGCGAAAATACAAGGATTTCACGACTGATAACTGGAAAAACGTAAATAAATGCTATATAGCTATATCCAAGTCGTTCTTGTACTGTAGATATTGTTTAATCTTAATTATATGACGTTTTTCAGGTATGTTTTTCGGACGAGTCGATTTTCCAAGTATTGGTCGACAAATCGCAGTTTGTACGGCGAAGGACAAATGAGAAATATAAGCCAGAATGCATTGTGCCGACCATTAAACATCCTCCTTCGGTAATGGTATGGTCAGTTATCAGTTATAAGGGACAAGGGGCCTTATACGTTGTCGATGGTACAATGAGTGCCGAAAAATATCAGGAAGTCTTGGAAACCCAGCTGCTCCCTCAAGTGAAAAAATGGTTCAACAAACGAGAAAAGCCAATTTTTATGCATGATGGTGTAGATATTCTCGACTGGCCAGGAAATTCGCCTGACATGAACCCCATCGAGAACGTCTGGGAGTTTTTGAAATCTGAGGTTACGATGAAAGCCCCTACAACCAAGCAAGAGTTAATCAATATACTTAATGACACTTGGAAATATAACCCAGAGCTCAAAATAAAAATTCAAAACTGTATAAGCAGTATGCCACGTCGCGTTGAAGCTGTGTTGGCTGCGAAAGGTGGTCATACAAAATACTGATTTTTGCAAAAAAATG